TTCCCACTAGCCAAAAGTTATTTCTGATTATTTTAAAGACTTAGTGTGAAAAGAAGTTGTGAACAAAAATTGTCATTGAGTTCTATTTCCGTAAAAATTTAGGGATTGAAATGATGGTGCACCTACATTTTGATGCTTATCCTTTTAAAAACTCACTTGCCCCCGGTCTCGGGGTCTCAAGATCAAGCTCTCTGTTAGAGCCTAATTCTGGCACATACGCTAAGGCTGCAGCTCTCTCTTGTTCTGGCTTGATGCCCTCTCTGTGGCAAAGGCTATAATGCTCTCCCTTGTCTGGACAACTGAATGGTTGTGTTTGAGAGACTTCTCATTGCCTAACCCCTTTTTTGGCCAGCATCTGCTAGGAACGATAAGAAAAATCTCCTGGCCCTATGCTTAGCACTGCTTTGCATGTTGTTCCTTGTGCTCCTCTCCTGTTTRTGTATGGATTTTCCCAAGAGTCCAGTTTGAGCGTTGCTGCTAACGGAGGTGTTAAGTTGCAGGCTCTGTTGATCCTGGCTCTGGTTTGTAAGCTCTGCTTGCCACGTGCTCTGCAAAGGCACCCGACAGGGCACCTCGTTCCTGTCGGGAAACAGATCTCCAGCTGCTTCAAAGCGCTGAGGGTTCAAGCGGCACGTGAATGGAAGGCAATTTCTCAGCTCTTATAACAAAACCTGAGTGTAGGTAACTCAAAACCAGGAGCCTTGGAGGAATCATCAGCCTTCTCCTTGGTTGTCCTTGGTCCCACGTATGCTGTTGTTCTTTCTCCTGTTCATTTGGCTGCCAGGACTGACTAGGCACATCTCGGACTGCTGTCCAAAACGCCCCTCTGCAGCCACACTTGCTCAGTGTGTCCTTCTCATGAGAACTACTGAGTGGAAAGGCACCGTAATTGTGCCTTTTGTGCTCTACCATTTCTTTGAGGCCTTCCGCCTTTTTATTCTTAACAGGAGATCACCTTTTCCTGAGAGCACAATGAGTCAGGCTGAATCAGTGCCACTGGAGAGAGGGAGCATTTTCCTACTGAAAATATCCGTGAATGTTTTTGAGGGAAAGGTTGTAATCACAGCTGACATTTGTCCACAGCATGGGCCGCGCTGGGCCTGACTTTGGCGAGAGCGTTAGAGCTTCACTCCATTTGCTGTGGAAAGAAGGAATTAGATTGAGAGGTATTGCTAGGGCTTTTTGTGTTTTGTTTTTCAGAGGGGACTGTATTTTATATATATTTATATTTATACCTTCTCTGCCCTAAAAGAAAAGGGGGATAAGTGAAAATAAGGAAAAAATAAAAACCCAGTATCTGTGTTCTCTCTGCTATCAGTAGAAACGTGTTTCATAGTGGTATCAGTCTTTACAATATATATTATGCACATACTTTAGTACTACTGTTCATATTTCTCCTATAAACACTAAGTAACCAATATCCCCAAATTACTCATTTTGGCAGTGCATCATCACATAAAGATTAAATCATGTTCAGGGTTATGATTTGTATATTTGTATTTTTCCTGAGACGGAGCTTGTTACATTGTGCTGCATGWTGTTGGAGTCCTACGACTTCTTTCATAGTTGCTGTTTCCAAGTGTGACAGCTAATGACTGGTTTATTCCCTTTATAGACGAGACAAGCTCTGGATTTGCATGGAGTTTTGTGGAGGTGGCTCTCTACAGGATATTTATCATGGTATGTCAAAACCACACTTCCCTAAGAAGCTAAATTAAGCTCACTTTCAGAAATGGAGATGATTACAGTCTTTTGGAATGAAAGAAGATGAATCGTAAACTTAGAGAACATAATGGTCTATTGAAGGTCAACTTGAGCTTTTTTTTTTCCTTCTTTCAGCACTTCATATACAGACCACTGCTTTTCAAATACTGTGTGAAATTAGACGATGCTATTTTGTGAAAATAGAGAACTTGGGCGGTTTTACTTCATAGCCATTTTGTCTCTGAGCTTTCGACCTTTGTTTTAATGTAACTATTACCACTGTCTACAGATACTTAAATAAATAGATTGATTACAAGTGTGTTCTTGTGCTTTGTACACACTGCCTTTACGTGGATTTGTATTGCCGTAGTGCCAGGAGGGACTTCTTCTTGTGCTAGATGCAAGGCAGGTGAAAAGCAAAGGTGACCTATATGTTTGCTTGAAAAGCAGAATCGCTTTTAAGGGGTTATAATGCCCTGGCAAGAAGGGTATGTCTAGGAAAAAGAAAAAGCTGTAAAAAAGTAGTGGTTCCAAGGTGATATTTTTCAGGCAGGAAATGGTCCAAACTCGACATTGCAAACATTTTCTCCTTTTGCAACTTCATGTCCTTATCTCGTATATAAACAGCTTGTATAAACATTCCCATGTTTATCCCCGATGCCATGAAAACGAGGCCCCGGTTTACAAATTCAGACCCTTCTAATGGCTCTGTCATTTCAGTTTAGCCTTGTCGACCCCTCATGTCTCTAACAGGGGTGCTCAGAGCATCGGGTCCAATAGGTTTTATGTGGCACACCTGTGGAGAAGGAAGTGAGCTCATGTCCCGTAAGTGCTTGGACAAATGTCAGGCAGGAATGGCTTCCTGTTGCAACTGATTTTAGGCCTCCCTGCTACCAGCTGGAGCAAAAGGCTCTTTCCTGATCTCAGTTCATTTCCAAAGTTCCTTATTCTGATTGGAATTAAATCAACAGTTAAGTATGATAAACATAAATGTTACTTGGTGAAGATTTAAATTGCTCAAAATAAACACACAGGCCTAGAAATCTAAACTCTGGGTGCTACTGTGCTTAACTTCATGCTGGTTTATAACTTTTCTTTCAGAAAAGCACAGATGWCATGGATCTATTTTAAAGATACATAATGTGTGATTCTCCTTTCTTACATAGTTATAATTTTGAAGCAGCTAAGCAGTTAGATGCTTAATTCTTTTTAATTTGTACCTCCCTRCTCCTCCGGTTTCCTTTGAGAGAGCCCAGCCAACACTTGTTTCCTTTGTTTTCTCTCCAAAACATGAGCAGCTTGCAACAAGGACAGCGCTTCCTGTTCTTAAAATCTTTTAATTTCGGGATTAAAGTCCTGTGACTGAGAACAGGTCACAGGCCAGTCCTTGTTTGTGTTTYGCTGTTTGGTTTATGCTTTTCTTCACAGTGAAATCCTCTAAGAGGCTTGAATGAGATGGAAATCTGTGGGAGAGGAATGCTCTTCCTTACCTTGAGAAGTTCCTAGGATGTTTGAAGGGAAAGTTTGGAAGGTGTATGKTGCTTTCCTCCGTCTGAGTCTGCTCGCTTCAGTGTGATGAGAAGTAGCTGAGGCACAGGCTTGAAAGGAAAAGAATCTTACTGAATTTTGAGAGAGAAATAACTGTGTTTTTGTTTGTTTTATTGATTGATTTTTTTTTCCCTTCTCTTTCAGTGACTGGACCACTTTCAGAACAGCAGATTGCTTACGTTAGCAGAGAAACACTACAGGTAGTATGTTTAAAGGCTTTTGTGTTACATTAAAAACAACTTTAGACAAATCATACAAAGTTGTAAAAGATAAAAAATAAAAGTTGAACATATCTGTATAATACCATGCAAGTGCAGTACCTAAATGACTTACCATTTTCCTCTGATTTTTTTTTTTTCTGTTTTATCGTAGGAAGCTGTTTATTATAGCCTACAACTAGTTTGTATAATCTGCATAACTTCAAGTTATCCCAGATCATTTACGTGAAAGCTGCTATCCTTTTTTATTGCTTTTTCCCCCTCCTCTTTAAAAAGAGGGAAAAAGCAGCGCCTCTTTGTTTGCAATAAATGTCTGTTACTGCACATTTGAAGGGGAAATAAAAAGATTTGGTTTTGTATATCTGACCGTTGGCCTGTACCATTAAGAAGAAAAAATGCCTRTGTATTTGAGATATCCACATTAAGGCAATCTCCATCACAGGTCTGCCAGATTTGTCTGCCTTTCCCAAAGGGGGTTAAGCTTCCTCCTAACACTTGCAAACAAGCTGCGTGTGATGCAGCTTATCTGGCTGTCAGGCAAGAGCACGTTCCTCACCTTCCGCTGAGTCTCTTGACCGCTGGCAGTGCCGAGCTGCTGCCTTCTACAAACACGCGCTCAGGATATCTCTGTACARCCTTTCTCTGTTGTCTTTGAGCCAGCAATGCCAGAGGTTGCTGCCTCCTGACGCACAGGACACTCCTTCTTTCCTCCTCCCTCTATATTTTTTTTCCTTCCTTCCTTTTTTTTTTTTTTTCTCCGTGCTTGCAGTGGATTGTTGCTTGACTTCACATCTGGGAGGGATATTTTCAGTTTTCAAACCTTTAACCCCGTTTCTCCAAACTCTGCAAAGTGTTTAATGTCTAAATTGGAGTTTGTGATATCACTAAATATTTTTGGGGAAAATTCATGGTCAATTTGTTTAAATTTCTTATGGGAAAGAAATTGGCTATTTTGTATGTGCATTTTAAGTGTTCTGCTAGTACCCATTTTTGTATGTTGTAAAGTTGTCTGTAACTGTGTAACTTGTTAAAGTTTATAATTCAGCATTTTGATGCCTTGCTATATCTTATAATCTATAATCTTTTCTTGGTCACTTTTCTTGATCAAAAAAAATGAGAATATAATCCTTCTGTCAGTCTAAGTTTGTCCATTTGTCCTCTRTTTCTGTGAGTCCAGAATTTCACTTGAATACCTAAAGTTAGCTCTTGACATTCATTTTTGGAAGCCCATTAGTTGATCTGATTTTAAAAAACGCTTGCTGTCTGGTTGGAATTAGTGAGACTGATTTTGAGAAAGCCCTTTACATAGGGACTTCAAGTATTTGCCTTTGGGCATCCAGTTCTGAAAATGGTGGCACAAATTCCTTAAAGACAGTGGTAGAACTGAGCAGGTTTTTGAAGGTTTTTATGCCAATGACACCTGAAACTTAAGTATGAGTAGCAGCCATTTCCACTTTACCAGCTAATGGCATTTGTGGCTATGGTCTGTTAGATGCTGCGATTAAATACACTTCCGTACCAGGAGCAAATCAAAATGAGTTCTTTTCTGGGGTTGCCTGCCTGCACACCTGGATCTTGAGGATCTCAGAACTGTAGGTTTAGGTAGGTTTAGGTATCTTTTGTCACCTCTCTGAAGGACTCAACTATCAGCGAGCAAGGTTGGGTTGTTTGTTTTTCCTCTTGGCCTCTTTAGTTTTCCTCTTAACTTTTGTAGTTCTTCTAAGGAGTTAAACTTCCTAACTGATTAGGTTAGGGCTTGAACTATATCCTGTTCAGGTTTTCATGAGCTGACAAAGAAAAGATATTCCTAAAATATATCATCAGTAGTATTGTTGTCTATCTGTTGCTATTGACTTGAAAATTTGAAGTACCAAATGTAAGTAAGCATCTCCCCCGCTTTTTTTTCCCCTGTCAGTCTATTTCAGAATATCCATGAAAATGCTGATAACTGGTAACAATCCTAATTTCTTTTGGGAATCAATTCTGTGACGTCTTGCACAAGCTGGCAAAAAATCCGTTGTGGCTTTTTCCTCCCTAGTGAATCATAGTCATTATGGAAGTTTGTGACCCCGGAGGGGCAGAGATATTTACCTGCAGCTTACCCTGTGGAAGAGTATTTTAGAGATATACTTGGCATGCCAGAATGCTCTGGGATTATCACGTGAGGATTCAGTCTCCTTGTGTTCATCCAACGACTTTAAAGCCTCTGACTTGGGCTGAGGCACYAGATCACCAAATTCTTTGGTACCATCATCAAGACCACGCAGAAGGTCAATCTAGTACTTCCTGGAGAGATTCACAAGTTAAAGTTGAACTTCTGTGTGTTTGCTGATATGGTTGCAGAGTTAATTAAAACCTGCAATGGTAYGGAAGAGCATCCCTGCACTAGGTTTCTGGTGATCAGATTGTTGAATAGTAGGGTGATAGGCAATTTAAAAGTCATTAACATGGTCTAAAAACACGACACTTAGTATGTCCAGAAGAAACACATTCTCAAGTTGAGTTTTCCTACTGCAGGTGACTGCTGTTACTTCCTTTGATGCACATTTGGGTGTTATGCTCCTAGAACATTTTGTTTGTAAATGTGCTTAACTTACACTGCCAAGTAAAAATGTACTTCAAGCACGGTGTCTGTCACAGCTGACTGAATTGGATCTCAATTCTGCCAGTTAATTTAGTAAGAAATATATATACATTAAAAAATAGTAGACTAAATTATTACCTAAACATTTCTTGCAGGGACTATATTATCTTCACAGTAAAGGAAAAATGCACAGAGACATTAAGGTAAGTCAAAACTGATGGGAATTTTTATTTCTAAAATTCAAATGTTCTCCATTATTGGAGCTATCTGGGAGATATTTTTAAATAGCTTGGTTTCTTCTACTTATTAAAATTAAGATTTTTTTCTGCCCAAGAGAACAAAAAGAATCTTTAAATTTGGTTTGTGGTAAAAATGGGAGCCAAAGAGAGCACGTATTTAAACTATTGCTGTGAGATCTAGACATCAGCTGGTGCTCTGAGAACAGCTGTTCAGCTTGCCATACAGATGTCATCTGGATGTGTTTGTTCCCTGATGAAGAGGAAAAAGCTTCGGCCTTTTCAAGAGCTTGACATACCTGTCTCTGAACCTACTAGGAAACAGTTGTTGCTTCAGCTTCTTTCCTTTCCTTTGAGCAGTTTGCAGGACAATGCCTCTATTTCTGTGGGGTTCTTAGAGTCTGGAGACTCCTTCTATCCCCTCCATTCCAGGCTAACACTAGAGAGGCTACCTTTACAGGCACGGGCTTATTTAACACATCAGCTGAACAAGGCCTTAGCAAAGCTGATTTGCTCAGCTGTTTCTTCCCTGTGGTCCCTTCCATTCACCTTTTGTGCCCAGAGGGTTTTATTGCATGCTCTTCACCTTTCCAAACTCTTCCTTGCTCAGACTTCAGGTTAAACCTGACAGGATTCCTCCTGGAATGCTGACAGTAAATTATGATACCCCTTTGTGGTGTKTTTTTTGCAAAGTTAGGAATGCTTCAACTGCAGATGTCTTAATAAAGCCTGGTTTTGTGGTCCTCCAAGCAGCTCTTCCTGATTGCAGAAGCATATTTGGGTTCTGAACACTCATGAAAGTTACTTTTATCATAAGTTATAGAACGCTGGATGCTGCTTAAAAGGATGCAATGCATTGGTATCTGTTTCTGAACTGACCTGGCCTCATTAAAATGCCTAGGATGCTTTCAGTTGAATTGAAAAGATACTGATCTCACAAGCATGGAAAAATAATATGACCTGCAGATCTCCCCACGGCCAAATTGTATCTGCTTCCTTAATTAGCAAAGTGTTGTGGGTTTAGAATATTTATCCTGCTAGCCTTGAAGGGCAAACAAGGTTGAGAACATGTTAACTGGGCTGTGGTGGTGTTTGCCAAGCTCCGTTTATTAGGCTCATTAACTCTGCTTGTGCAATCCTTGCCAGGGTTGGCTGCATTGCTCGAGTATTACAGCAGGCCCAACTTCCCTCTCCCTCATCCAACCCATACTCTGGAAAAGGCCGGGTTCTTTGGAAACGATTCTTTGCCCCCTTCCTTACTGGGTTAGGGGCAGTACTCACATTCCTAGCTCTGTGTTTAACTTTGTTTAGTCAACTTCTCTTCTTGTTGTTGTCTACCTGTAGCTGGTTTCCTTCTTCAGATCAGGTTGGTTCCCTGTCCTTTTATGTGGTAACTTTATGATACTAACTGTTGTTTGGGGTTAATTTTTGCTAGAAATCTGAAGTAAATGATACATTAGTCACAAAAAAGCAAGCAAACAAAAAGCTTTTAATAACAGGGTTTCTATTGCAGAAGGGCGGAAATAGTTTTGCTGAACACTTGAATATCAAGGCTTGTCCTTAGGACTGTAATTATCGTGGCTCTCAAACGAGAGAAAACCAGTTCCTACAGACGGAAGAGAAAATTAAGCGTCTTCCCCTCTGACCTTTTATAGTTCCTGGTTCCTTTCAAGCAGTGTAAGAGAACAAAAGAGAAAGTAGGARTTTATCGGTATAGGTAAATCATCATATTTGGCTTTTTGAGAGGATTTGGTGTGTTGTAGTGGAACTCTGGAACAGGAACTCTGTAGCGCCACAGGGCTAAACGTAAACTTCATGAGAAGCCCTSTATATACCAGTTCCATTATATAATAGAAGTTGCTGATTTCATAAGTATTTCCTTTGTAATGCTACAGATTTCTTGAACACGCAGTCCTTGATCGTCTTTGCCTCCTAGGCTATCATAGATTTCCCTTCAAGTTTTTCAGATATTTTAAAAAAAAGGGCATATTTTAATTGAAGTTTCATTTTTTGATTGTTTTTAAGGGAGCAAACATTCTTTTAACGGACAATGGACATGTAAAATTAGGTGAGTTGTTAAAGCTGTTAATAAAACTGTTAAATTTGTGTGTACTCTAAACATGCTTTCTGGTTTTAATCTCGTACAGTGGTTTGTTTAAGGGCTTACTGAGCGTCACTGGGGAACTCTTGCTGATAATATCTAACTCGTCAGTGTTTAATAATTTAGGAGTAATTGCCATATAGCTTTAGAACAGTTTTTTTCCTAAGACCAAATGATATAAAATTGAAGGATTTTATTATTTTTAATAAAATGTACCATCTAGAGGACCCAGCTATGTAATATAGTTTAAAGCAGTCTCTGAAGGGACTGCTTCAAGACTATTAATTGATATTTTTTTTCATATTAAGAGAGCACATGGAAGGATTTCTATTCTAGACGTTTTCTTTCTTGTATTGACATGTTTGTGGGTAGTTACGTATTTGGCGAGTGATCAAGCGGAGCTGATCCTTAATTTAAGGGTCAACAATTTTTCATTATTTGCTTTTACTGTTTATTTTTTCTTAAATATTTCCGGTGTATTCCCCCCACCCCCCAAAAAAAAAAAAAATTTTGAGTGGAGAAACCAAACTGTAGCATTCATAAACAGTGAATTACCCTAAATCATGACTTCAATTATGAACTATCTTATTTTACTTTTTTTTTTTTTTTTTTAAGCTGATTTTGGAGTGTCTGCACAGATAACAGCTACAATTGCCAAAAGGAAATCTTTCATTGGAACGCCATATTGGTAATTACTTTATTTGGTTATTAATACAGTAGTAAAATATGTAACACTGTTGAAAACACATTACATAACCGGGTAGAGGAATCACTGAAGACTGACGGACTTTCTAGCCATCCTATTTGAGTTAGTTGTGCTAAATCCTGAACTAACTGAACATCAGACAAGATGCTACAATGCACTGAAAAATCAGATTTCTTTGCTGCTTTGACTTGAGTCAATTCAGTCCATTTCAAATTACCTATGGTTTTGCATGTCAAGTCTCACCTTCACATTCCCCCCACCCCAGGTATTGGCTCTTTTGCAACTCTTCAGCTCGTAATGAGGTATCAGTTTTATTTCCACAGCTGCTTTTGCCCCATMTGAAATGTCTTCTTTACCCCATTTTCATTCTTGCTTGTTTGTTTTGGATTTTTTCTTTTTTGGCCTTGTTTAGACTGATGGAAATAAAATTTACCTTTCTGTGCTATCTGTTGCATCTTAATCTTCCCCTGAGTAAACTAACCTGCATCATTTATGCTGTTTATATTACAGATTTTTATATACTCTGTCTGTAGCAAAACTGGTTGTTCCCTTTTGCCTCAAAGCAAATAAAAGCAGAAATAGCATTTTTCTGCTGCATATTTTTCCTTGCAAAGCATTCAGAGCTTTCTGTACGAAAGTATAGCACATACAAGAAAAACCCAATGTAAAGGAAAAGTAATCCAAATATTTAGACTTGAAATGTACTCAAGCACAGCATTTTTAGCATTCCTCTGCAGTGTAAATCACACTAAGGCATGGATACRTTTCCCTTTTGGAGTAACCCAAATGCCTTTCAGTCACACTCTTGTAAGTTGTCTGTGGCTGCTTCCCAGTTAAGATGTTCTGGCTGACCACAGTCCCGACCTTTGTCGTGGTCTGACTTCCAAATTGCGCCAGGCTTCTTCCATGACATGCCTGAACCTTAAATAGTAACTCTGAAGCGTTTTGGAAGTTAAGTATGATGCAAATCACCACTTCTCCTTTGCTACACTTAGAGATCTGGGAGGAGAAGCCAGGAAGCAAAACTGCATAGGAGAAAATGGAGTGACCAAAAGAAGCAGTGTGAAGGTTTTAGTTGGCTCTTAGAGGTGTCCAAACACATCAGCGTATGGTGGTTGCATGGCAGAGAAATAAAGGAGTTTAAACCTCTGTAGTATCTTTAGTTCCAGGAATCTATTATTTATCTTTTCACTTCTCTTCCGTTTCGTTTTAAAATTATCCTTTGTTTCCTCTCTTCCTCCATAACTCCTTGTTCCTCCTTCATTGGCATCCTTTTAAAGTCCCTGAAATGCTGAAAGGAAGAAGAAAAATATTAAAATTTGTTTAAAAAAACTGTAGCATTTAAAAATTGAACCATCTCTAGTAGTATGACGCAGTAAATGAGGACTCATGGTATGTCCCAAAGTTCAGCAATACAGAGCTGAACACTGCTTTCATTTTACTGAATCATTTTATTTAGATACTCCTTTATGCAGATCCTTTATCTAAGTAAAATTTTTCCACCTTAGATGCTGGATCTGTTTTGTAAACTTAAATGAGGCCTTTTAACATTGCTTTGAGATAGATGGTAAAGATGCGGAGCACTCTGTTTAGAGTTGACAAAAACTCCTCAGGTCTCATGCTTCCTGGAGACCAAAAAGTTGTTGCTGACTAAATTCCCCTTTTGAAGGCTCTCTTCAAAGTCAGTTCATCGCTCTCTGGGATGAGGTGCATAATTTTATTTACGTTTTACTCTAGTTGAATAATTATATCTTAGTTTCTTTTGCTCTTGTAAGAAAGTTCAAAGCTGATTGGTTTCATCCACTTTCTACCAAGAGGCTGTTTTTTGAACTGCCCCTAGTTACTGTAAGATATTTGAGGAAAATGTCATGTTTGCCCCAGAGAAGGAGGTTTTATCTTGGGAATTTTTTTCCTTATTGCTCTCATGAAATGAAGGAGAGCCACAATGTTAATCCTTTGGAAAGAAAGGGGCAGAGTGAAGGAAAAAAACCTTATACTTTCTGAATTTTGTTAAATTTGAAAGCTTAAGATTAACATAGTATATACCTTTGCATATATATATATATCTCACCTAAATGATACTGTTAAGCTTATTATAAATGATACTATTAAACTTATAAATACAGTGCTATAGAGGAATGCACAGTGAACAAAATATTTGGTTTGTAGAARGAAGTGTACCTAAAAGAAAACTGTCTTGTTCTTTAGGATGGCACCAGAAGTTGCTGCAGTAGAAAGGAAAGGTGGATATAACCAACTGTGTGATCTTTGGGCAGTTGGAATAACTGCTATAGAACTTGCTGAACTTCAGCCTCCTATGTTTGACTTGCATCCCATGAGGTTAGTAAATGACTAAAGCTTCTTTTGGCAATAAATGTTCATAACTAATCTGTTTGGAGGAGCTGGCTACGTGTGCTTGCATTATTTGGGTCTGCTGCAAGGGTATTGAGATTCAGAAGTGTTCTGAATGTATGCAAAATTTCAGCTCTTTCTAGTTAAGTATGTAAACTCTCCTGGTAGTTTCTCTTAAATCGACAGACTTCGTACATTCTGAGGGAATCTTAGAGAATGTTAGAGAGTTTAATGACCTGACTTATATTTGTCATTGCTATGCAAACCACGGATACACTGTTTTTTCAGGGCACTCTTTCTAATGACGAAAAGCAACTTCCAGCCTCCTAAGTTAAAGGACAAAATGAAATGGTAAGCAGTTCTCTGCTTCAGTTGATAATGATCATGTATTTCACTGGACATGAAATTCTAATGTTTACCATTTCATTTTGCAGGTCCAATAGTTTCCATCATTTTGTGAAAATGGCACTTACAAAAAACCCTAAAAAACGGCCTACAGCTGAAAAATTACTACAGGTATAAATTTGTATATGCCTTTTTAAAACGTTGTGAAATTAAAATAAGCTAGAAAATGACCAAGAGTTTCAATATTGTTTTTTTCTTCTTTCAGCATCCTTTTGTTACCCAGCCCTTAAATCGAAGTCTCGCTATTGAACTCTTGGATAAAATGAACAATCCTGATCATTCCACTTACCATGATTTTGATGACGATGATCCTGAGGTAGGAATCCGTTTTAATCGTAAAATCGGACTAGGATTTCATTAGTCAACAAAACAAAATTATCAGATACATTTCATTCATCCATCTCGTTACATTCACAAGTTTCACTTATTGTCATTTTACAAGAGTTAGTCCATGTTGCATCTACAACACGGCTTCTCCAGTCCTGATTTCTACCATGCCTCCTGCCTTCTGTTTCTTCTTGGACTTTCCATTAATCTGCAAGGAAAGCATTAATAAAAAGCATTTTACTCTTACATACAATGAATCCTTGACTCACAGTCTACTGTCTACAAAAATTTTATGTGAGGAGAGGAAGAGGAGGATCCCTTAGGTGTGTTTTGTCAAATGTTTTGCTCTGTGTTTCTTGCCAATTATATTTTTGTCTTAGAATAGTTTAGGAGACTTAATTTCACTTCTTATTCTGTCAAAGACAATATTTCTGCTTTAATAGCAGGTGAAAAAAAATAGTGGGCTTATATAAAAACAAGAAACTTTGCAAGATTTAAGAGTTTCACAGTTGAGAGAAGGTAAATGCTTTCTCGCTGCCTTCTTTCACACTTTGTTACTGAAGCCTTCCCAGATGTTCATACTTTCCATTGATTAATTGCATGTTTACGTACTTTATTTTTCTTTAATGGGAAAAACTAGTATCAGAATGCCTTCAAATACAAGTAGTCTCACAAGGAGCAACTACTTTGAGGTATTAATTTTGAGATATAACAAGTTAAATGATCATCTACCTTCTAGAACAGCAAAGACAGTGGACATGCACGGAGTCTTTTTCTGTCTTCCTTGCAAGTTGGCATAAATATAGAGGAAAAGAAAAAGTCATTTTTTTTTTCTGTTGTAGAGTGCAATGTTAGCATTTTTAATGTTTCAGGCATGGAAGGGAGAGAGAGGAAGGCATAAAAATTGAACAGTCAATATGCTTAGAACAACTGCAAGTGGAAAAGAGCCCTTTTTTTCTGTAAAAACTCATCGATGATATTAAATACACAGAGAAGTCCTTATTATATTATTCTTCCATATCAGTGTTAAGAGGGAAGTGATCTGATTTCTTGCTGCTGACAGGGGCAGCTCAGATATACTCATAGTTAAGTTCCAAGGATTGGGTGCCCCTTAGTTCAGTGACAACAGAGTTATGAGGTTTTCTGGTTCCACAGATATGCTAATGTTTTCATGGGCCTTCTAAGAAGGAAATATATCTATTTTGGGTGTGTTTTCTACCACTGAGCTGTTCAGATCAGAATAACCTGCTCTGTGGCTCTTCCCTGCTTTCCTGGAAGCTATGCTGAATTATTGATATAATCCTGTGTCACTTGCATGCATCTTTGGCAGGTATCCCAGTCATCTTCATTTTGAGTTATTCAGGTGAAAAACCTCACTACCCTTCCCATATAGTATCACTTCATTTTGCTGATGGTTACTTGTAGCTATTAAAAATAGAGCCGTATAATAATGGCAGAAGTTACATGAAAGAGCTCTGTTTTTAAATAAACAACCTATAGAAGGCTCTTATGTTGTTCAGTATATTACTTGCCAGTTAATCCCATAATGAAATATAATATCAGGAGAGAGCTATGCCTTGTCTGGGGAGAAAATAATAGGAAAAGAAAGCAAACTTGCAAGATGATCAGAGAAGATGCTTGTTTTCATCATTTATAAAGGAGCTGGGCTGGCTGACACTACCGAAGGAAAAACAAGCTGTCTCACATGTCCTTTTGTTCTTTGCAAAAGGAGTTCAGGTTTGTTGTTGTTTCTCCATCATTATTCATCACAAGGCACTGAGCTCTTCAGTGGGTTTTCAGTCACCATTACCTGTAGTGCTATTGCATTGCTGCCACRTGTTCAGCAGAGAGATGGAGCAAACTTACACCTTGCACGTTTAAACATGAGGTTCTCTGGGTTCCTCGTAGATTACTTGGGCCAACATCAGAAACCATCAACTTTGGGTTTTGGAAGACTCCTGACAGAGGACATATTGAGAAAGAACTGTCAAGGTTTCTCTTGCTAATGTGGGGGCCTGATTGTACAGCATGCAGTTAGTCTTGTCCTACTGTTGAGAAACTGTGTGTTGTTTCCAAGAGAACCTGCAGTAGCTGATGTGTAAGGAGGAGAGAAAGCCTAAAACTGGCCGAGAAAATAAAGCCAAGTCTTTAAAAGTTTGTGACTGTTTAGTACAGACGTACACGGAGTGCCAGGAAAAAGCTGAAGTGGAACATAAATATCAGGGTGAATTTGTAGTAGTGAAGGTGACATTCTTGCCACACAGCATAAGGAGACCAGGAATACTCTGTTCTGTGTTCAACTTTTGAGCTTGTCCTCTGTTTAGAGAAGCTAATCAATGAGTGTTTGGGGAGAAAAATCAGACTAGAAGATGGGAAGGTTAGGATACTTCTATCTAAACAAATTAAAATGAGTGTTTTCAGTTAGTGTTGCTGCTTATTTGGGAAATTATCAATACCCTTAAGTTAGAAAGTACAAAAAGAAGATGTTATAGGAGTAAAGTCCGTTGCTGACCACCACTGACTTTATCTCCTCAAATCCAGAGTTTAAAATCCCTTACGTTGTATTTGAAGACATTAAAGGTCTCCAAATAATTTTGGTTGATTTTTCTTTTTTGATACTGTGCTGAAGAAACATGCTAAAGACAGGTGCATAATACAGGGCAGGGATGCTCTGTTTGAAGTACTTTGGAATTTGAATACTTTGGAATTACAGCTTTTTTGTGTATTTCTATTCTAGCCTCTTCTAGTGCCTCATCGAATTCATTCAACAAGCAGAAATGTGAGAGAAGAGAAAACACGCTCTGAAATAAACTGTAAGCATGTATATATTAATTTTTCTCAGTTTAGTTACTGATGTTCACCTATAGCTTCCACTGGGACTGCTGTGTATGTGGCATATATAGAAATATTTTGTAGATATGCAGCAAGATCAAAACATGCAGTTTCATTTACAGAGAGAGGCTCCAGATGACTTTGCAGAATAAATATTAATGTAAAATACTTGAATACAGACCTTTATGTCTGTACTCCAACAAATCTCAGCATTGTTTCATCTTAAGTAAGAAGGATATTACCTGAGCTCTTTTGAGAGCTGATSAGGGCAGCTTCGCTCAGGTGCTCAGTGTGATGCCAGATTTTGCTGAACAGCATACTGTTACAGTGCTGCTTATTAAGTGCACCTTTTCTAGGTATTTGAAGATGAAAAGTCTTGCAATTAAATCTTGGATTGTTTGGTTAGAGAAAAAACACCTTTCATGTAGAGTTGAAATGAAAGCCTGTACCATTTCTAGTTGGAGAGGGGAAGCTTTCTCATCCTTCATTAATTTAATATCTTTTCGTCATTTTTACTCTCAAGTTGAAACAAGACACTGAAATTGAAAAAGGAGGAAGTTGATTGCTGGCTGTTAAAACCAGATTCCATCCCCTAAAATGCAGTTATTCCTTTGCTTGAATTAAACTCGGGTAATACACAAAGCCTTTTTCTTATCTAAAAATAAGAGAAGTCTTAAGACCATTTGCCAAAGAGCTCTTCTACGAGATGTGATCACCACTCCCCAAATTTCTTTTGGAATTCATTAGTGCTAGTGAGTCTCCATCTCCCAGAAAAACAGATCTCAAAGTGAATTCACACAGTGCGTTTATTTTTCTATAAACTACAGCTGCATTGCCCCATTAAAGAGAGTGCTTCCTGTCCTGTTCCCTAAATTCTCTTCCTGGACCACCTAAAGAGAAGTTGGAGCAAATGATGACAGTGCTGTCTCTGTGATAAACGATAAGCAATTTCTGTGCCCATTACCCTCTAGTGGTCCCAAGCTGTGCACATATCATAAGTTTTCATCAGCGAGGATAAGATTGTTTGAATGAATTATCTCTTTTTATTAACCTTTGAGACAAATTCTTTCTCATCTCAATTCAACTTAAACCCTTCTTTTTCTTTCTTTCTTCCTCTCTAGTTGGTCAAGTAAAATTTGATCCACCCTTGCGAAAGGAGACAGAGCCACATCATGAATTTGTGAGTAGCAAGTAGCATGGGCTMTGCTTTGCATTTTAATTCCTGCAAGCACTCATGGACGAGGGGAAACACAAAATACGTGGCATACTTCCTTAGCCCCACTAAATTTATTAGCAGTTTCTTTAGAAAGTGATAATGTACTGGTCCTAAATCTTGCCATTTAGACTGTATGCAGCAAGATCCCTTATTTTGGGGTTCTGTCAGGTGTGACATCTGTGGTAAGCAACAACTCTGTCTTGTGGGTTTCCTCTATCCTTTATACTTCATTGCCAGGAATGTCATTCCCTTTAGTTACTTATAGAATTACTGCTTTTTACACAGGCTTTGCGCTCCCTCATTCTCTCATTGACAGTGATTGATATCAGAAATAATCACAAAATTCAATGCCTGGGAAGAGTTATGATGCCCTTAAGAAATGGATGTTTGTGGGATCATTACTTTCTCACACAAATTTTGTGTAGCCTCTCTTGGAGTCTTTAAATCACACCTGAGTCAGTAGTACTGAGTGAGACAAGGTGCATTCCCACTGTTTATTGTTTCTCCCTCTCCCACCACCGTCTGTCAGTGCAAGAGGAATGAGAACTCGGGCAGTGGGGGGAAAAGGTGTCTGTGCTCCACATTTACGATGTGGTAACTTTGGTGACATTTGTTCCTTTCACGTTCGTGCACTTGGGCAGTTCCTTCTCATTCCCGATGAAAGACACTCCTTTGCTCCCTTCCTCCAGGCTTTCCAGTTCCATTTAAATAAGGCAGGTGTGAAGGTGAAAAAAATGGCCTGTTTCCAGGTATGAGGGAAACCAGCTCTGCACCTCAGATTCACTGAGGGAGAGGTGCCTACCTAGGATTGGACTTCCTCTTGTATAGTCTACAGACCCCATGTGCATGGTATTTCTGACATTGGTTTCCTTGGGGGGCTCTGTAGAATAGCAAGGTCTCCTGTCCAGTAACCTGTCCTTTGGTAGCCTGTCACGTAGCCCTGGGTGGATGAGGTTGTTTGAAACGTCCCTCTTCCTCAGCAAGTGGCAGGACAGGTAGTCTGCAGTTTCTGGTCCCTGTTCAAGACTCAAAAACAGCTTACCTAATCACATGAAGGACTTGCTCAGTGATTCCAGATATGCTATATAGCCCTTGACTTAACTGCTCGATAGCATTGTTCAGGGTCTTGATATAATGTGTTCGTTGAAAAACGTGAGTGTTCCTATGATCAACTCATCAGTTACCTCAGAAATGATTCTTGGAGTGATTTCAAGTTAGCATGACATTGCTTCCCCGCTGCATTGTTTGGGTTTTGAAGAAAATGACTGGTAGCATCACATAGTTCAAAATCACAGTTTTGTTCTTTAAGAATTTCATTTGATGCATAAAACTGTAATTACAAAATATCTTAAGAGAGAACTAAAGTTTTAAAAACTCTTTTCTGGTGAGTTCTCCTGATGTTCATTTTTATTTTATCCGTCACTGACTATACGAACAGTTACCAAGCTGGACAACCTCCTGGGGCAGAGAGGCAGTTTTATTGCACCCTCTCAATCTGTGCTGCTAAGCTGAGAGGAGAAGTTTTTCTGCAAGAATTAAAACCAGCTTTTGAAAGCACTTCTTGAGCAGGAGAAACCTGTAGCCCTCGGAGAAGGATTGAGCTTTTACCTTGGTAACTGTCAGGACCTTTGTGCTTTAGGGGCACCAAAGCTCTTGCTGCTGTAAAAGAGGACTCAAACTATTCAGATCAGTTTTTAAGAAAAGGATTCTTTATTGTTTTATTTTGTACTCTATATTCCTGCCAGAGTTTGTACCTTTTCAGCCTGTTCAAAGAACGTGCCTTATCCCACTGCCTGTAAGGAAGATTTATAACTGTGTGTTTGGGTCTTTCTGAAGAGGGAAATAAACTGCCCAGCTGCTGGTGTAAGAAGGAAGCATGCAGACCCCATGTGGTCTTTTGAGATAAAATTTCCCTTATTTCAAGACATGTCATATACTTTTTAATCTTTAAAAGATGAATATCTTATTTCTGATATCTTGGCAGGAATTCTTGTGTAGTACTAGTATAATTATTTGAGTTTGTTTTCAGTGTAAGCATGAATGGAAAAGAATGCCTTTTTATGAAACAAGCATCAGTTTGTCACAGAATTACTGTGACATATGTAAAAATGCCACTGCAAGCAAGATAAATAGTTCCAATAAGCGAAGGTAACTGCTTACATCCTATATTTGTATCTACCTTAGCTGTTTATGTAATATACTTCTAGCTGTAGACACTGAATTAGAAGAGTTGCATTGATTCTTACGACTTCCCTCAGCCAAGAGAGAAACATAACTATGATTTTACAAATGGGATTGTTGCATCTAGAGACCAGATTGAAGACATATTTTATCATTAGATCGAGAGCGTACGGAACATTTAAATTGGCACATGAAATGCTTTTAAGAGAGCAGATCTTTTGGTGAAGAGCTTAAGCATAAAACAGACTAAGTTCATAATAATCTACTTGCTCTGGGAGAAAGAGAAATTATTAAATGGAAATGGAAGCAAGAAATGCCTGTCTCTTGCTCCACCAAAACCCATGCACGTCTCTTTTTATTAAAGTAATTCTTCTGACCCTCTTGCTTCTGTCTTACTAAGGCATGCTTAAACYCAATGCTAATTCCTTAAGGGTACGAGTGCACAAGGACTGGCTTTATTGGCAGTGGTATGACACCCATTCCCACAGGTCAGYTGATGAGCAATAATTCACTATTTTGTTGTCGGCAGTGCTTGGCGATGTGACAGTGCCCTCAGTCGTGTTTTGAAACACTTTCCCTCACCCCCAGAACTGTTTTAACATGGTTTGAGTTTCAACTAATTCTATTTTTTTCTCTCCTCTTAGCAAGAAAATTCCCCTTTATGTATACTTGCCTTTCAGTCACAATGTAAATAACTTAAGTTTCTTGATCTCTATCTAATGAACAGCCTGACAGTAGCGATTTTTTGGACAATTCAGAAGAAATATACTACACTGCAAGATCTAACCTGGTATTTTTCATCTTACACGTTTCTTTGTCAATGTTGGATTTGTCTTTATTTTCCTTCTTCAATGCTCATGTTTTGTCCTGTGATTGTACCAGTGTTTCATCTGTGTTAGAGCTATTCAGTGCAAGGATTCATCTATATGTAAAGCTCTGTAATGTAGGGTAGAATTCATACTGTGTTAATATTGAAAATATTTAGCATGCATTCATGTCCACTTGAGTCACTTTTATTGAGGAGTGTCATTTATCTCACTGTTCTATAATGCGTTGGTCCTGAATTTTAGGTGGGGTGTGATTATAGGGATGGGAAATATAGAGAAGACTTTATTTTCATATTAGTAACAGAATATTCAAAAAACTGTGGTCATAAGTGTTTTCACTGGCATTTGGCATTGTTTGTGCTTTTCCAAACTTCCTTTTACTGCACTTCTTAAAAAAATTTATTGGCAATTTTGGCCAAACAAAAACAAACAAACAAACAAACAAAAAAAACACTATGTAAATTATTACTGTAGTTTTTTTTCTGTTTTTCCCTTTGCTCTTTGGGTGCCATGTAGCAGAAGAGCAACATTTTTAAATATTTTACATCTTCACATACTATGGAAAATGAGGGGGAAAAAGTGTATTCTACTAGATTAGCTGCATTTTTTAAATAATGTTCTTTTATTTGTGAGCAGTATGATTTAAGTCCATGGAGGGGAGGGAAAAGGAAAGCTGCGTCTGGGAATTTTCTCTTTTGTTTTTCTCCGTGTGGCTTTTTTGCATCTCCATCATTTGGCTTGGTGTCACTTGAGCTTGCCAATATCATGATTGTGGCAGCCTGTCCATACTCCGTTCTCTGCTTAGGATTCCTCGTACTCTTGTTCTGGCTGTTGCCATGTGTTTTGGCATCTTTTTTGACCTATTCAAAACCYGCTGGCCATCACCCTGTGCCACATGCTGTAGGTGACCCGGTGTGTGCAGAGAGTTTGGACGAGATTTTTCTGAGACTTTTTTTTTAAACTTTATTAAATACATCTTCAGAAATCATCTCAAGATCCTGCAGGGAAAGCCCTCTAACCATCTTTGTGACCTTCCGCTGGATTCTACCCAGCTTATCAATGTCTCTCCCATCTGGGAAGCCTCAGCTGGGGCACAGCATCCATGGGTGGTCTTTGAAGCACCACTTGCAGAGGGACAGCCCCTTCCAGTTCTCYTGGGTGCACTCTTGGCTAATGTGGTGCAGTGTGTGCTTGGCCAGCTGTGCCACATTGGATTACACCTTGGATGCATCCTACGAGGTCCTGGTCTGCATTGCAGGCTGGTGGTAGGGTTGTAGGCAGTTTTGCAGACTGATGGTAACRCTGTAGGCAGTTGTGTGGGGGTGTTGCCTGTTGGTTTTGCTCTTGCAGCAGGGGGGAAAAAATAAATGTTCCTGCATTGAACTCAGTTAGCCTGGGTAATTTATTTAACATGCAGTGAAGAAGCAGTGAGTTCTATTTTCTTAGAAGTGGGGGCAGAGGAGTTGGTCAGAGCTCGAATTCCATATTTCAGCTCCCAGCCTAAAATGATTTTCAGTAAGAGACTTCCAGTTACCCCTCACTCTGCACTGTTGTATTTGCCAAATACACTGACACCTTTGGTCCTGTTTAAATGCTTTGGTCGTGTCTGGTTTTGTGGCTCATRAACATGTTTTGGATTTAATCATTTGTCACAAAGGCTTTGACTACAGCTGGTTTTAAGAGCGCAGTGTTTCAGAGTAGATATTACAGGCTAATTTATTATTTGTGGTAGAGAAATTGGAATGCCAGTAGAAAAATGTTAGAGGGAGGAGGAGTAACTGATATAAATGATGAGCTTTGCCTGGAGAACTTTTTATTTGCTTTATTCAGGTTTTTATTCAGGTCTTTGGGATGTGAGACATTTGTTTATTTATTATTTATTTTACTATTTCTCTTCCTTCCCTGTATTTTCCTGTAACTGGGAAAATTCCTACCCTATATTTGGGTATTTTCCTACTTTTTTAAGTGAGAAAATGAAGTTGCTGATAACAAGAGCTGCTGGCTGTATCGAGGCCTTAACACAAGCACTTCAGCAAGGAGTATTCCTCTCCGTTATACTGCCATGAAATAATATGGCCCGTGTTATTATGTGCCAAATAAACATTCATAAAAGTTTGTAAACAGAATTGCACTATTGTACAAACCAGGGAAGAAGGGGAAATGCAGCTACACGACAGCAGTGCCCACGATTCCTCTCTGGTGATGAATTGAAGATGTTCTTGGCCTCATTAATAAAGTAGGCAAACCTATTCAGGATGTATTAAATTACTGCCACTATCGAAAGAAATTTCAGGCATGTAATTTGTTTCGTAAAACAAAATAAGGGCGTTACAAGAACTGCATATATATTAAGTCATTTTAGACTCTTGATCAAATAAGCATCCTTCTCTATGGAGGCACGTGGTCGGAAATGCTTATTCATTCGTTTTACTGAGATAAAAATATTTCTGTACATTCTTATTTGATACATGTTAGTAATCCAAAGCTGATTTATAGTCTTTAACACTCCAAATTACTTCCCCAGCAGCTGCTGGGGTTAAAGCCTTAATTATGTCATTCCACATAATCTTGTTTATCACTAGATTGAAGTTTGAGGAATAACAACTATAGAAAATAACCGTGAATCACTGTTTCACTGTATACATTCAGATTTGKTTTTTTAAATGTTGTGAACACATAAAAATAGCTTTCCAGTACAACTAACCCCTAAGCAGTAAATTCCTTAATCAGGAAATTAAGTAGATGTAAGTTAAAATAGCAATCAGTTCATCATGAGACATTGCAGAAAATGATTATGACATTTTGCAAGTTAAAATTCTGAAGGCATTGCAGACTGAATCAGTTTTGGAGATTTTTCTTTTGACAGCATGGTCATATTCCTAAATTTGTTGCCGCTTTGCGAAATGTGAAGAAATTACATATTTCTTCGGTCGTTGACTAGTTAGATAAACACCTGGTTTTCTTGGAAAGGTGCGAATGGCGTTTCTGCAAGTTTGCCTTATAAAAAATATCTGGAAAGATTTAGAAGAATCAGTAATGATTCTTATTGTATTACCCCTTTCTTTAATGTGATCACAGACTATGGCAACCTCTGTGCAGATCCAGCAGCTCAGGAGGAGGTCATTGGCAGCTTGAGCTTGACTGCAGAGTAATTTGGGATTGCATCTTTTCTTTAATAAATAATTTATATTCTATATTCTTTAATGTAAAACATACATATAATATAAATATATAAAATATTATATATACACACGCAAAATAAATTTATATATTTATTTATATGAAGTGTGTGTGTGTGTATATATATATATATATATATATAGGTAGCAGTGAGAAAAGGGTCAATCACAGACCTCGGGGCTCCTTTGGAAGATACCTGTGCAGTCACTCTGATTTAGTATTGCCTGATCTAGAAAGCCTTTCAGTCAGCTAATGCTCATCAACACTGTACCTACAGGAAATGAAAATACTTAAGGAGATAAATACTGTTGCTGGGAAACTTTTAGAATTCAAAAGAGGTAACAGCTTTTATTAAGCAGACATTTGCATCGCTAAATAACTAATGCTAATCTGTTCTTCCCAGGGAGAATCCATACCTGATAAGACTTTAGTTTTGTAAAATGCATTTTTGTTTGACTCTGATTATACTGGTTGTTCTGATAAAAACATAGCAGCTCCCYGGAGGTGTTTCAAAATGCAGGCAGTACTTTTCTCTGCTTGTATATCAAGGACGCAGCGTGAAGGTTTATACGATTGTAATTGCTGGATATATTTGGCATTGCGAGGTACAAGAAAAATGTAGGTTGTGCTTTGGAAAGATGCTCTCGTGTCAGCATTTATCTCTCCAGAATGCAAAAAAAATGAATTTCCCTAGCGACAAATTACATCTACATTGGGGATGAAAGCAGGAATGTTTACAAGGCTTGCAAGGATCCTAACAAGCAAGTTAAGTGCAGGAAGTGAAAAATATACATCTCCTATTATAATCGTAGTCTAGTAAATGCTAGCAGGCAGCACAATAGTAAACTGAATGAATACAAAGGGTTTTTTTTTCGTTTTAAAGCATTTAAGTGTAAGTTACTCTGGCAGATGTCCTTTTTTATAAAGAGACTGCCTGTAAGTCTTGTAAGGGCTGGTGACAGGTGAAGAATTCTATGCTTTATGGAGATTTGCTTATTTTCTCATGTTAATATTCTTGTCATTGCTGTACAGCATACATAGTCATACACTGCACATTGTGTAAATTAAAATGGACAGACGTTTTGGCTCTGCCCAACGTAAGGCTTTTATTATCTGTTTAATCTGTAGGCAAAACAGTTGTCACTTAAGGTGAAAATCTCAAGTTTCACTGTAGGAGTCTAGGACTGTGTTTTTTGGTAGCCTTGCCTAGTAGGTGTCCTAGATCCTGACACGTGGACTTGCACAGTCTGTTTCATCTCCTTGTTTGGAGTTCTAGTGACATCTTGTGTTTCCATATATCCATATTGTGTAGAAGGAAAGGAAGTATTCACAGTAAAGTTAAATCTTTGTAGCCTTATGTTGAGCAGGAGAATATGAACTGTTGGTGAGGACCAGAAGAAAGGAATTGGTCGGGGAAGGTAACAGATGATGGGAGTAATGAAGAGAATGAAATGAGGAGAGATCAGAACAGCTTTTCTTGAGAGAAAGAGACTCCCACAGTGTCTTATGGGCCTTGGGAAAATACGAGAGATCATTGAAGCAATCAAATGCTACTGAGATGTGGTAGAAAGAGCCAGCAAACAACCTCTAGTCRTGACTAGAAAACAATATTTCAGGTTTCTATTAAACTATATAAAGTATAAAAATTATCACCTGAAAACCGGGTGGCTTGTCAGCTTGGAGCACAGACAAATGTAGCGTGAGACTTTCCYTTGATATTTACAGGTGCCTTTTGGGAGATCGCACCTCTGGGCTGTCACCATTATCTACTCCAGGGTTATTGCTCACTTAGCTTGGGTAACTGGGCAGTTTTTCCGGGATCAGTGGTGTGATTTTGATTCAGACAGCACCAAAAGAAGTTAAGAGACCTTTATAACGTTACCTTGAAAGCCGCAATGTAGCTTCACTAACTCAAGTGATCAATAAGTTAGCTTCTCGTGGTGGATGCAGCCAGTTGCTCGGGAGTGTATTTATGCACTGATTTTTCCCATCATGATCCAGCTGAAAAAGCAAATAAAATTCTGTAATTGTAGTAGTATCTTCCTGGCAGATATAAATTCTGTGGTGCCTCAGGACAACTTCTCAGTATTCCCTGTAATTCATTAAATATTAAAATCATGCATCATCTTTTGAATAGTAGTGTCTTAAGATTTTTGCCACTTTTTTTGCAATAACTGCAAACCATGGTTGTTAGAGCAGGTGACTTCACTGCCAGTACTGTTAATGCAGTATTTCGCTGCTCAGGATGAAAGGCTATGTTAAGTATACATGAACGTCATATATACTTATCCTTAAAATATATGTGAGAATAACATAKGTTAGAGTTACAAACACACTCTTCATGTCCTCTATATTTATGTCTTTAACATCCCCATGTGCAAAAGGCATTTCAGGCTCCCTGTCATAAGACATCCCTGCCTAAAATGAACATTTTCAGTGTGCCAGTGAGGGTGGTTGGGTAGTAGTATTATGAATTTGATGGAGTTTAGAGAGATCCTGAAGT